AGAGAGAGAGAGAGAGAGAGAGAGTCTTAAAGGCTGCCAGGCATTAAAATAGTCTTCCAAAGGAAAAAAGTTTCCAAGCCTAGAAATTACAAAAAAAATCAATAAGAGCATTAAAGTTATTAATAGCTCGTCCAAGACGGTGAAAATTATGGAGAGGAAAAAAAAAAAAGTGAACGATACATCAAGAAAGGAATGACGATATTTTTTAGAAAAATCGTCGAATTCGTGGTTTTGCTTAGGAAAGTTGTAGACATTTGACTCGACGATCGTTATTTGGGACGTAGACTCGATGATAATTATTCGGAAACGTTGTTTTTCTTTTATTAATTACGAAGTAATTTAATTACTTAATAATTCTGGTCGCTTTTACGTTACATGGACAAATAGTTTGTTTGACAAGTCAGTATCATTATTCGATAGACGACTAAAAAATGTTATCTTTTCCAATACGCAGATATTTTATACGTCACGTCTCGAGCTCACAGTCAATTTCTGCTCGATGGAGCTTCGTTTAATTTCTGCCTGTCCAGAATATTTTTCTCAAAAAAGTAATTTCGTCGAGCTATATTTCATTGAGAAATCCTGTACCGTAACACGGTTGCTCCCATTTCAACGGTTTAAAGTGGTGTTCAAATTTATGAAATCGAACCCGCCTATACAGATTAACAGGCTCGTCACATTTTTTGCTGCGAAACTCGAATAATATACCAGGGAGGTTTCATCATTATGCGCAGCGAAATTATTCGAAAACTTGTAAAAGAGAAGAGAGAATTGAACGCTCATCAGCGTGGGGTAGGTGGCCGCGTGCGAATTCCCTCTCCTCGCCCCCGTATGGAGAACAGTATCTGGCCCTGGGGGCATAACGTACCCCTTTCCCCGCCCACCTTGTCGATCTAACCGACCACGCTGCCCTCACCGATTCCCTCCCTTCGGCCGCTTGTCTCTCACTCCCTCCTCCCTTTATCCAGCTCATTCCGGATCATTGCCTCTTTCTCCCTCTCCCGTTCCGCTAACCTCTTTGCTACCAAGCTCGCCCGCGTTGCCGCGTTTTTCTCCTTTCCTCCAACTCCGTTACTTCGCCCCCACCTTTCCTCTTCATCCCCACCACAGCGCCGAACCACCCACCAGATCGCTCGTTCGCTACGGCTCGCGGTCTCCTTTCTGCTCTCTCTGTCGCACGTTCGAGTGATCGATCAGTCGGCCTCGCTCGCGTCGCCGCGATCACTCGCTCCTTCTCCGACTCGTCTCGCCGCTTGTCGCCTCGTCCTCGTCCCGCTCGTATGCGCGGAGGCAGGCGCCACGAATTCACTTCACGCGACTTCGGCTCCGCTCGGTCAGTTCCGGCTGCCGGCCAGAAGAATTCGTCAGTATTCGCCGCGCTGCATCGCCGGCAAGTTGTGCATGG